ATATATGCAGTCAAAACATTCATAAAATAGAACATTAATAAAAAATACTCATAGAAAGTCATGATGGAAATCAGAAAAAAAACCCAAAAATAGTTGAAAACACATCAAACTGTAAGAGAATTTATAACTTTGAATTTATAAAACAAAAATTTAAAATGATTCAACTCTCTTAGGAAGCTCAACTCTAAGAAAAGAGCAACGGATATAATCAGAAATAAGGAAGGAAATAATGAATATAACTGAAAATAAACAGTATTTTAAACGTAAAGGAAATAAGGAAAGAAATTATTAATACCATGAACAAAAGCAAGTTCTGGAAAGGCCAACACAGTAGGAAAAACTTCTTGTAACACTGTTCATGAAAAGAATTAGAAAGCATAGGATTAAAAAGGGAGAAATAAGAGATGAAGTAGATTAGTAATGAGATATTATAGAGAACTGCATGTCAATAAATTTGATAACTTAGATGAAACAGATAAAAGTTCTAGAAAAACAGAAATATCTAAATCATTACAGTCAGAGATGTGGCCTTCACTATGACATTAAGCATCAGGTTGGTGAGCTCCAGGTTCAGTGAGGAGCCCTTTCTCAAAAAATAAGGTGGAGAGTGATTGAGGAAGACATCTAATGTTGACCTCTGGTTTCCACATGCATGCATACACGTGTACATACAGCCCCCCCCACCACTTGCACACATATACATACAAAAAAGAAGAAAATTTTAGATATCACTTTGAATCTCAGGTATATAAAATCCAAGTGAACTGTTACATCAAGTGGAATTTGTCTCAGGAATTAAATGGTTCTGTTTTAAGAAAGAACCATCACTTAAGCTGACCACATTCATGGACTAAAGACAAAAAGTCTTTATTATCTCAATAGACTTAAGACAGTATCTTTCAATGTCCATGTGTAATGAAAGCACTTAGGAAATTAGGAACTGAAAAGAACTTCCTTATTCTGACAGATGCTGACCTCTCAAATTTTGTGGAAAAAAAAAAAAACAAACTTCCAGGCATTTCCCTTGAAGGCCAAAAACTTTGCAGAGGGCCAAACGTGGTGGCACATGCCTTTAATTCCAGCAGTCTGGAGTCAGAGGCAGGTGAATCTCGATGAGATTGAGGCCAGCCTGGTCAACATAGTTCTAGGTTAGCCAGGGCTACATAGTAAGACCCTGTCTCAAAAAAACCCAAACTAAACTAAAACAAACAAAAGAAGAAAACATACAGAGATGTGTGCCGACTTGTGGAAACACATGCTGTCTCCTCTACGGAGGTCCTAGCCAATTAGGTAAAGCAAGAAAAATAAGCAGAGACACTACAGGAAGCAAGCAAGAAAAGAAATGTTACTGGATATGATAAACAGATAAATAACCTAGGAAAAAGACAGGTGTGGTCAGGTATATCTGTAACCCCAGCACTTGGGAGGTGGAAGCAGGAGGATCAGGACTTCAAGGCCAGCCTCAAGTTTGAGGCCGGCCTCGACTACGTGAGGCCCTGTCTCAAAATGTAATAAAATAAATCAATAAATAACCTAGGAAAATCAATGAGAAATTAGAACTATTAGCAAAACTTCAACAAAGTTGCTCAGAAAGTGAAATTGTATTTTTTTAATATTTTATTTATTTTTATGTGTATGAGTGTATTGCCTGCATGTATGTGAGTGACTATGAAAACAAAGTAATATGGCAAAAATGTGTAGAACAGTTAGAGAAAAGTTTTATGATCCTAAACATGAACACAATAAAATGTGGAAAAAATAAAAATATTCTGTTCCTGGGTGTAAAACTTCATGCCGTGAGGGTGTCAGTGTTCATGTGGAAGCACACACATCTACTGCAGTGGTTTGTATCTGGAATGCCCCCAGGAGCCTGTGCGGCACACAAAGTCCTGGGCTCCATCTTGTAGTGCTCTTGAGGGTGGTGGCACCTGCAGGAGGTGGAGCCTAGTGGAAGGAGGTTGGGGTGCTGGTGTGTACCCTCAGATGGGGTATGTGCCCCTAGCTCCTGCTGTTTCTTTTGCTTCCCTGCCACCATGAGGTGAGCATCTTGTCCCTCCATGTGCTCCAGATGTGTGTTTCTGCCTGTCCATTGCTCTTAAGCAATGGAGAAATGACCATAGATGAAAACTTCTGATCTTATGAGCCAAAACAAACCTTCCCTCCTTATAAGTTGATTATCTCAGGTGTATTATCACAGTAGTGCAAAGCTGACTAACATATCTGTCTTATCCAAATAAATTTGAAAAAGAAAAAACACAAAGGGGAATCACTGTGCTCCAGGTCATTTTGAAAAGACAGTGATTAAAGTGATGCTGTCACAGGAATTGGCAAGCAAGCTAATGGAGTTGAACACCTTGACAAAAATCACACCAGAGCACACAGAAGCAAGGAAAGATGAACTTCTGTGGTTATGTGGTGGTGGAAAATTGCCTTAGAGGAAGTATGGAAGAAGAAAAATAAAATATCCTTATCCTATCCTACTACCTTTAATCTCAGTACTCAGGAGGCAGAGGCAGGTGGATCTCTGTGAGATCCAGGTCAGCCTGATCTACATAGTGAGTTCCAAGCCATCTGAGGATACAGAGAGACCCTGCCTCAAATGAACGCAAATTGCAGAGATGCAGAGATGGGCTGGAGAGGTGGCTCAGCAGTTAAACACTGTCTGCTCTTGCAGACGATGTAGGTTCAGTTCCCAGAACTACATGGCAGCTAACACCACCTGTTAATTCCAATTCCAGGGGATTCAACACCCTCTTCTGGCTTCCATGAGAATTGCATGCATGTGATGCACTTACATACATGCAGGCAAAACACTCATACACATAAAATAAAAATGAGTAAATCAATAAATTTTTTAAAAATTTCAGGGAGAGTGAAGATTTAAATCTACAAGCCACAGATAAAAACCTTGAGAATTTGGCATGGGTAGCGACCAGTTATGATGGGAAAACTGGTCTCTCCACATTAGACTGGCAACACATCCAGTTTGAGTACTTGCTGGCCTTCTTCATGTCATGCTCTCCTCACTGGGACACAGGGCATGGCCAGGCCCTGTGTGTCAGCTCACCTGGGTGAAAATAGGTACTGAGACTCAGGAGCCTATGACAGAACTGGGTGTCCAGGTGGTCTGATTTTCTTAGACTGCATTGCTGTCCTCATCAAGGGTTTCAGAACATCTGTGGAGGAACTTCTTGTGAAAAGCCTCAAATACAGTTGTGGAAGCTGAGTGAGACCCTGGCAACTTGAACAGCACAGACCTAATCATTCTATTGCTGCCCACACTTTCAGGGTGGGTGTGGTTCATTCCAACACAAGGCACTGATACCTGGCAACCAGCCTGACTGAGCCAGAATCCTCCTGAAGCTTGTTAAAAATAAGCCGATGGGCCTTACCCTGATATGCTCTGATTCAGGAGGTGCCAGGCAGCTCAGGAATCTTTGTATGACTCGCTCCCATGGGTGGCCAGCGTTGGACCTGCCAAGCTGGATCACTCTCAAGGATCCAGAGCCGAAAACAACTCAGCTCATAAGGATGCAGAACCACCTGGATTGGGAATGTGGAAGGATCTACACCCAGAGTGTGCCAGGGCAGGATGAAAAGTGCAGTGGCTTGGGGTAGAGAATGAGTGGTCCAACCAGCAGGCCCAGCAGGAAAGGAGCAGCAGAGCCAGTGAGGGACTGACTGGAGCTGAACCCTCTCCCCTGAGATGGTCCCTTCCTCCTGCCTCAGTCCTGGCCCTGTGCTCAAATGGTCTCTTCCCTCCTTATTTCCTTCGCCAGCCAGAACTGATGGCAAGAAGCTTGCATTCATACATGCATTCATTCATTCAATATTCCTTCATTCCACAGGGGTTTATTATGACATTTCTAAGCACTTTCAGGTTCGTAGGGAGGAGTGAGACAAATGGGTTGTAATAATGCAGAGTCCTGTAATGGAGAACATCAGATGCCCAACAGGGTTCTCTACTTGGGAACCCTGGAGGGCTTCCTGGATGTGGCGTGTGAGATGGTAATAAAGCAGCAATTCAAACTAGGAAGACTTTGACGCCTTGGGAATGGCACATGCAAGCCCTGGGTGAGAAGGCCTGGGCTGCAAGGTCCAGGGGACATCTTGAGGGATGAGGTGAGTCATGCAGAGGTTAGCCAGCAACCTGGCACCCCACCTAGCCCTGCAGGCCCCTTGTGGCTCGCCAGGAGCAGGCAGAGTGTCTAGGAGCTGGGATCTAGAGGAAGGTAAGTGACTATTGGACAAGGCCTAAGGGGCCTCTTGGCTGGGGAAGGGGAGGTTTAGGTAGGGGTTCTGGGAGCCAAGGTAGGGGACAGGATGGTAGGTACTTCATGACATCCCTGCCTCCTAGTGGCCATTGAAAATGGCCGCTTGTTAAAGGTAAATGCTGCTGAGTGGTGGTGACATTTCCTAATAAAAGACTTTCTTTTTGTTTAGCTATTTTTTGCATTTGCTGGTTTTTCTACACAGACTATATATTGCTTGTATTGCTTATATCTTTCAAATGAATAGATGAAATTGTGAGGAACAAACTCGGGTATTAACCTGGGTGAGCTGGTGGGGGGGCAGTGCATGTGCAAAGTAACTTCCAGACACCCCCTCCCCACTACCCCCTCCCCCACCGCCTCACGCATCTCGACATAGCTGGGCTGGTGACCAGAAGGAGGGAGAAGCTGCATGGAGCCTTCCTTCTCACACCCACGGGTGCAGTAACACCCGCAGGTGCCTTCTGGGCCAGGAGCTGGCTTCTACTTCAAAACTGCAGCAGGACTGGGTGAGCAGGCCAGCTCGGAGTAGGCAGGGATGCGTAAGCAGTGGGTGCTGAGAGCTCCCTTGTGACCTACAGGGAGGCAGGAGCCCAGACAGACAGGGTGGGAGTGGGGGATCCGCTGGGCCAGCTGCTGGGCTGCAGGGCCAGACTTGGCAGTCTTCTGCTGGGTTCCCAGGGGGCATCAGCTCTTGCCTAAATTCCCCTGGGGATTTCTCTTTCCTAGATCCATTTTCCAGACGTGGAGCGTGTGGAGTGGGCCAACAAGGTAAGGCGATGGGCAGGAGGGCAGGAGGGCAGGACTCCCTCCCTACCTGCCACCCTCCCTACCTGCCACCCAGGAGCTGCCCAGCATCCAAGCACCAGAGCAAGCCTGATGAGGGAAGCACTTTGTAGACCCAAACCTCAGCCTGTAGTTCCCTTAATTGGATGGGCAGAGAGGGTCCCTCCACTGATGTGCTCAGGTGACAGGCTCCCCCCGTTACTTCTTTCACCAAGAGTGTGTTCCCTTAATACGTTTTAAATTGACAACTGACTTGAGCAGAAAAGTTAGAACACAGAGAAAAAGTGTAGAGAAAAGCACATCCCTTTATTGCTCCTGTAAGATCATTACATAAGTAGAGGAAGACACTAATTAGACCAGTGTCTAATTCCACCTGGTCCCAGCCCAGATACAAAACCACACGCTGTGTAACTTTGAGCAGATTGCCTAACATCTCTGAGCCAGTTTCCTTATCTATAAAATGGGAGTAATTATGATTCTTCCTCTGGCTCATGGTGAGTGTGCGGTTCACTGATGCCACTGTTATGAGTGGTGGTAGGTCATCTAAGGGAACTCTCCTTGGGCTAGCTAGCAGTCACCCTGAGGCAGCCACTGCTCCTTGCCTTGCCTTCTGACCCTCTGCAGCAGGAGTCCAGCTTTGCAGAAGTGTGAGGCTCCCTCCCCCACTGAGCTGACCAGATCTGCGAAGGCTCCCCTGCAGCCCCCACCTGCAAGCTTCTGACTCAGATTTTAACCCTGGGAAAGGCTTGGCCCACAGTAGGACCCAGTTAATTTAGGTGGCAGAAAGGTTCTTGTGACAGCTGTTAATCTAAGGTTGACATTTTTATGTTCCAAAAATGTCATTGCCAAGAGCACTACAAACTGTCCCCAGACTCGAGCGAGTCTCCTTGCTGCTTTAGGAGAGTGACCAGAATTCTGTGGGGGAGGCAGGGTATGGGGTCTTGGGGGGACCCTCTACACAGCCCCTTCTTGTGCATGTGCATGCCAGCCATGTCCTGATCACTGCAGAACTCGAGTGTTCACTAAGGACCACAGATGCAACCTGCAGCCCTGGAGGTAGCTGTTGGAATGAGGATGGATGGGCGCAGATACAAGGGTGCACCTGAGAGGCCCTGAAGAATGATGGGTCAGTGAGGCAGGAAGAGTTGGGAGAGGCCCCTGAGAAAGGGGGATAGTGAACCCCTGGATCCCACATGTCCAGGCTCCTCAATTATTATTGAAAAGGGGGCATGGTAGAAAAGGGATACCATTATACTGAAGCCCAAAGCACTGCTCACAGTGATTACTACCATCACCTGTTCCTGGTTACCACTTTTAGCTGCCATCACCATCTCCCTCCTGCCACAATAGAAAGCAGACAGTAGTGATAAAAGGGAAACCAAAATAGCCTGTCTATAGGTCAGCTATAACATTGTGTTAGAGGGCCTGGAGAGATGGCTCAGTGGTTAAGAGCACTGGCTGCGCTTCCAGAGGACCTGGATTTGGTTCCCAGCATCTATATGGCTGCTAATAACCTTTCCTAATTCCTGTTCCAGGGCATCTGATGCCCTCTTCTGACCTCTATAGGCATTGCACACACCTGGTACATTTACATACATGCAGACAAAACATTCATACACAATTAAAAATAAACAAATTTCAAAAAACAAGAAAAACATTGTGTGGGCTGGGGAGATGGCTCAGTGGGTAAGGGCACTTACCAGTTCCCAGAACCTACAGGGTAGGTGAGACTTGACTCCCACAAGTTGTTCTCTAACTTCCACGCACATGCCTTGCACCATACAATAAATAAATGTAAAAAATAAAATATGGTGCCAACATTATCTTTTATTTTTAATCACTGTACAGTCATGTTCTTATAACATCATCTTTGCCAATGATGAGCCAAAGTACCATGGGTTATAATGGAGCTGAAAAATTCACCTAGTATTCCTCCTGTACCTATTCTAGGCTTAGGCCTATTTACATACATAAACACTCCCCTCTGTGTCACAGCAGGATTTACCACAGTATCTTGCTGGGCAGGTTTGTAGCCCAGGAATCTTAGGCTGTACCAGCCAGCTGGGTGTATTACTAGGCTAGACCATCTGAGTTTGTGTAAGTACATTCAATAGTTGCACAAAGACAAAATCATCTAGCCTTGAATTTCTCAGAACATGCCCCATAGTTAAAACACACAACTATAGCTTTCGGAGGAATTTAGTCCCCCACATGGTTTTCTGGCCATGATTCATTCTACCGAAGAAGTGGACCAAAGACTGGTCACCTTTTCTTGCCACTAGAAATGAAATCCACAGGAAACAATTTAGCTATCACTTGTTATTTTTTTTTTCTTAAAATGTTAGCTGTTACTCTGTGTAAGCCATTATGCAGAATAGGTTTTATGTTTAGTACAGAACTAAATGGTTTCATTTTGTTGAATATAGTGAACAAGCATTTTCACAGTGCTCTGCAAAGTGTGCCAAACCTCTGCTGAGGGGTGAGATCTGCTGCGTCCTTCTCAGATGTCTGCAGAAGGGATTGATGGCTAGGTGGGAGGCTGATGGGCCAGCAACAGAAGGACTGTAGGCTCCACCAAGAGGATCTGGGCAGCCGTGGATCTGCAGTCATGAGCACAGAGCTGACACTGGGGGCCTCTATCCCTGCTTGCAGATCATCACACAGATCTGGCCCTACCTAAGCATGATCATGGAGAACAAGATCCGGGAAAAACTGGAGCCCAAAATCCGGGAGAAGAGCGTCCACCTGAGGACCTTCACCTTCACCAAGCTCTACTTTGGACAGAAGGTTGGTGCTGTCTTGGGAGGTCGGCCTGGACTTGCTGTGTGGTCTTCTGCCTGTTTCTTTTCTTCCTGGTTCCCTATACCCTCCCCCTCTACACATGCTCATCAGTCACTTCTCTGTGAGGATCCCACCGAGCCTCAGAGAGCCAGAGCCCCTACCTTCATTTCCCACCTGTCAGCCTCAGTGCAGAGCCCTTGTTCCTTGTCCCCCAAACCCAACTCTGAAGCTGCCAAGGAAGTTGGGGCCAGGGAACTGAAAGGAGATGGGAAAAATAGTTCCACTCTTTCTAGATATTTTAGAAACATGGTGTGGAGGGTGCCAGATGGACACAAAGATGAACAGGTTCTAACTACTAACCTCAAGTGTCCCTTGTGGTTTGTGACAGCTCCATAAGCAGTTCAGGGTGTTAGGGGCCCATCTGTCTTTGGAGAGCAGTGGGTATCTGGGAAGAAGTGATATCTGACTTGACTTTTGAAGAGATCAGTAGGGAAAGAGCCAAGAGGACTGCAGGCTGCAGAGCTTAGGGCAGAGTCTGCTCCACCAGGCCACTCCTTTGGCACTACTGGCAAGTGATCATAAGGAGTGACTTCACTGCATCTGGAGACCCTGAGGAGGTTGACCAGATGCCCTAGCCCTGCAGGAGACTTGCCTGACTCCCCATCTTGGCCTTTCAGGCCTTCTGGTCCTAGCCTTTTCCACCTGCTCCCCACCCTTCCATGCCTGTGCTGCTATGTGAGTGATGTCTCACATGGGGAGGCTACATTCTGGCCTGGTGCCCTTGTCCAACCTGGGCCGGGCTGCCCCTCCTGGCACAATGGGTCCTCAAAAACAGCTCTCCTTCTCTGGGGCCTCCAGGCAGGCAGGCTCTCTGGGACCTGTCCTTACAGGTGAGGTATTGGGTAGCTGAGCCTTCACAGGTGATAGAGAACCCCTACCCCACCCCCAGCAGGCCCTGGGCAGTGATGACTGAGCAAGTGCCTGTCCCCAGCCCAGGCTTCCAGTGAGGCCAGGCCAGAGCCAGGCTGTGCCCTCTATAACTTCTACAATTGTGGGGACTCCCAAAGAAAAAGAATATCAAATTAAAGTTGCGTAGTACATTCAAGGGCTGGGATTCAATCCCCAGTACCATAAAAAAAAAAAAAAAAAAAAAAAGTCTAAAATGTCAGATGTCAAAAGAAAATTAAATCAACATGAGAGAACTAACCACAGTGTTACATTTTTTTTTTGAGACAGGGTCTCCCTGTATCCCCAGCTGGCCTGGAACTGGCTGTATAGACCAGGCTAGCCTTGATCTTAACAGAGGTCCACTTGTCTTTTTATTCCGAGTGCTGGAATTAAAGGTGTGTGTCACCATACCTAGCTTTAAGTTGTGTGTCTTAGAAAGCTGACATGTTGTACTATCAGAGATGCAGAAAAACACCACACTTTTTAAATTAACTGCGTACCCTGTCCCTGTAATGCATTTTTTTCTACATTTTTGCTCTATACTCTGAGAACCTTTTAAAGGACAAGACAGTTTTGATTTATTTATTGTTTTTATGTGTATGTGTCTGAGTGCTGGTATTAAAGGTATGCACCACTATGCCTGGCTTTTTCTTGATGATACATTTTAAAATGCTACTTGCAGTGGAGTGAATAGAAATTTAATGTAATCTTTTATTGGGACAGATTGAATTTTTTCTCCGATATTTGTGAAAATTTTCAAACATAAATTTAAATGAATTATTCAGTGAACATCACAGACCTATCATTTGAAGTGCACAGTTGTTAACTTCTCTCTGTGGTGTGTGTGTGTGTGTCCATGCATCTGTGTCTATATTCATCTTTCTTTAAAATGCACTTCAAACAAAATAACAGACATCAGAGAACGTTGGCCCCTGAGTTCTTTGATGTGTCTATTACTAATTCAGTTTCAAATGAAATTTCATTTTAATCTATTGGTCAGTCATAACCAGGCTACCCGAGAGAAGAGCAGTGGGCCGAGGGGGAGCCTGGGGACAGAAAGTGTCAGATGCCTCAGCCAGGAATTCCCCCCCACACACCCCGTGCCCATTGGAGCCAGCTCCTTCTCATCTGTCACACTTGAGTTAAGTGCTTCTCTCTTTAGGTCACCTTGATACCCACCCCCCAAGTTGGGAGTGTTCCTGAAGTCCCCGGCCTCTCTGGATGCGGTGGATGCTCCTTACTTAACTGCTCTTGTGCCATTTGTCTCCTGGACTAGGCTGTGTGGCCAGGCTATGGCTCGGTCTCCAGTGCCCCTTGTCTTTGCCAGGCTACATGGAAAGATGCCCAGGAAATAGCTGTGACAGGAAGGGAGAGCAAGGAGGAGACTCAGGGGAAGAAGGGAGGGTGTCTGAGCTCAGGATGAACTTCTGGGTATGCCTCAACCCAAGATGACAACAGTCATGTTTGGCAGGGGGTGAGATTGAGGTGGGGGTGGGAAAGCCAGTGTTGGCAAGGGTTGCCTGGCTGTGGGAACCTGCTGGTCTAGCCCTTCTGCCGTCTCTTCCAGTGCCCCAGGGTGAATGGTGTCAAGGCACATACTGACAAATGCAACCGGAGGCAAGTGACCTTGGACCTACAGATCTGGTGAGCCTTAGTGTTTGGGGACAGGGTGGCTCTAGACCCAGCAGCTTGAAGATAGAGTGCACCCTGATTAGGAATGTGAAACCCAATCCAGGAACACAGCCTCCTCCAGACTGGGGCACAGGTCCTTGCTGAAGGGGGAGTACAGAGGAATTGATGGGGTGTGACCGCCCCCCACAAAACCAACTCTGTCTCATTCCTCCACCTGGGCCTGGCATCATACACCCACAGCTCCTCTGGGTACCATGGCTGGGGTGATGGGCTTTTCGAGTGAGCCACAGCTGAGCCACCTGGAGGTTCAGAGAAGCTTCTACAGAAGGTGTAGCTAGAGGGAGCCAGTGTGACAAGAGGTTGATGGGACAGGAGAGCCCCAAGCACAGATAGTAAGAGGTTGGCTGACTGGAGAGCTGGGCTCTGGCACTTCAGGAAAACTAGAGGATGCGAACATGAGGCCTATTCAGTGGGCTGGGCTTTGGAACGGGCACAGGCATCTCTTTCCAATGAGGCTTATAATGGGCTTATTAGGAAGAAGGAAGATCAAGCTAGGAAGTCTTCCTGGAGATGGGGAGGTTTGGATAGTGCTTTAGAAGACAGAATTAACCTCCATGTTGCCATTTCTTTCCAGAGTCTCATGTTCCCTATCCTTGGCCCAGAAACAGAATCTGGCAATGGGGTCACCCATTATCAGGACTGGGCTCCAGTGTTTGGGGATGGTGGCAGGCAGCCAGGTGCCCCTGGCCTCAGAGGCTTGTCAGGAGAATCTTATATGAATGATTGGGGTACCTTCAGGCCATATGGCCCACTCAGCCTCTGAGACAGTGCTTGGCATCCCTAGCTCCCTGTTCTGCCTATGCCTACTCCATGGGCACTGGGCATTTCTGTGACCTGGGACATCAAGCACCTGTGCCCATGTGTGCAGATGTCTAACCACCACTTCTCTGTCCCCATACTTCCTTCAGACTTTGGCAGAATCCCCTGACCTTTACTCTCAAATATATCCATTCTGGGCTCCTCAGGGGCCATCACCTGACAGGAGTCACCAGCTGGCCCTGCAGCCTTCCAGCCCAAGGCCTCGTTACTTTACCCACTTCCACGCCAGCAACATCTGGGACAATGGCAGGATGTGGTAGAGGACCCGGGGGCAGGGTCCTAGCAGTAGTGGCAGGATAGTGTATTTATCAGGATCACCTCCTTTTCATCTGTGGGTGCCGTGGGCTAGGTGGTGCCGAAAGGCTGGGCTCTAATAGACAGAAGTGGGGATATGTGTGTGGCACCAGGTGCAGGGCCCCAGGGAGGGGCTGCCTCCCTCCTAGAGTGTAGGCCTAGGTCAGGGTCAGAGGTCAGGTCCGAGAAAGGCTGAGGCTGTTGGGGAAGTGACATGCCCAAGTGACAGTTGAAGGCTATGCACCGTTGGCCAGCTTCTCCACTTCTCTGAGTGGTGGAAATGGCCCCTTCCTTCACCCTCCATTTCAGCTACATTGGGGATTGTGAGATCTGCATGGAGCTGCAGAAGATCCGTGCAGGTGTGAACGGCATCCAGGTGAGTGAGGCTGACATGGCTCTGCTGTTCCAGTCCCTTCAGTGGGTTCCTGGAAGTGGAACAGGCTGTGAAGGACAGGATGACCCCAGACATCGGCTGGGGACAGGAGCAGTTGCAGGCCCAAGGTCACACGGTCAGCCAGTGGTGCTGGGCTTCGCCAACCCTACTCTGCTTCCCAGCACTGCAGCCATCTGCTTGCAAAGTCAGGTTTTGACTGTCTGAGGAAGTGAGGGAGAGCCATGGCTCAGAGACCCACTGGGCTCCGGAGGTAGAAATGCCTCATGACAGGAGCTGCTGTCCAGACTTGGAACTCATTTCTGGGTCCCAGCTACCAGCACAACACAGTGTGGTTAGCTCCAACAGTGCAGTCATACCTGTGTCCAGGCCCATGTACACTGAGTGTGTTCCTTTCAGTGACAGCAGGCAGCCTAGCAGACAGTCCTGACACTAGGGGCAGCAGGGGTGTGGAATGAGGCTGCAGAAGGGCTCAGCTGAGCAGCAGGTATAAGAAGAAAGGAGTTTGGTCCCTCACAGCTCTCTGTGCCCACCAGTTGCAGGGCACCCTGCGGATCATCCTGGAGCCCCTCCTGGTGGACAAGCCCTTTGTGGGAGCTGTGACCATGTTCTTCCTTCAAAAGCCGGTGAGCCCAGGACCTAGGGACAGGCCTGGTGCTCTCCATGAGCAGGCACCATCCACTGAGCCTCACAAATTGGGATTTGACCCAAGAATGAACATTGCCTCAGCCTGCCACTTCTGGGCATCTGGGACTCTGATCTCATTCACCCCTCAAGGGAGCCTGAAGAGTTAGACTCAGCTCTCCTGTGATGAGGAAACTGAACTGAGAGAGGGTCACAGGGTGGTCAGAAGTGGAGCTGAGACAGACTCCAGCTCTCACGCCCAGGTCAGCCGCGTTACAGAGCTGCCCCACCTATGATGGTTCTGTCACAAAGTGGTAGGCCTGACAGCCTGAGCTAAGGCCTAGACCCTTGCTTTAGTTTCATTCTTCTTCTGTGTTAAAACACTGATCAAAAGCAGCTTAGGGGAGGAAAGAAAGGGTTTACTTCAGCTTAAGGTTACGGTCTCTTACTGAGGGAAGTCGGGGCAAGAACTCAAACAGGCACTTGAAACAGAAACTGTGGAGGAACACAGCCTGCTGGCTTGCTCAGACTCATGCTTAGCCTGCTTTCTTATATAACCCAGGACCACCTGCCCAGGGACTAGTGCCACCCGCAAGGGACTGGGCCCTTTTGCATCAGTTAACAATCAAGGGCTATCCCCCACAGACCAGTCTGATCTGGATAATCCCTCAATTGAGACTCGCTTCTTAGGTGACTCTAGGCTGTGTCAAGTTGACAGTTAAAGCTAAGACACCCATCTATGCCCCAGAGACCTAAGCAGGCTGAGAGGCATCCTCCCTACCTCACCCCTACAGAGGGTGCACCCCAACAGACTAGGTTTTTCCTTTGGGAGAGGGTGTTAGCCCTGGGCTCCTAGCTCCGTGAATCGAATGCCTTCCCTCTGCCCTGCAGCACCTGCAGATTAACTGGACAGGTTTGACCAACCTGCTGGACATGCCAGGCATCAAGTAAGTGGTGGGGAGCTTGTGAGACATCCAACAGTGCTGTGAGCTCCACCCCTCCTGCTCTGACAAGGAATAGGCAAAAAAGGGCAAGCACTGGGGGAAAGTGTGTGTGTGTGTGTGTGTGTGTGTGTGTGTGTGAGGGCAAGCACTGGGGGAAAGTGTGTGTGTGTGTGTGTGTGTGTGTGTGTGTGTGTGTGTGTGTGTGTGTGTGTATGTTACCCCTGCTGAAGGTTTTGCTCAGCATTACTCTGAGGGGCACAGGTTCCCGTTCTGGTGCAGGGCGAGAGTCACTCTGATCAGAAGAGATGTGTAGTGACCATATGAGCTGGTGAGTGGTGAACACAGGTCTGGAACACAGGCAGCTCCTGACTCTGCCCCTCAACAAATATGTGACTGAAGTTATGTTACTCACTTCTCTGGGTCCTTCTCAGTAAGAGGGCATCCTGCCCCTCTTTCCTGAGGTCCCTGGAGACATGCAGGTGTGTGTGGTTGCAGCATGCTGTGTGTACACACAGGCAAGTGTCCTCCTCACCCTTCACCCCTTTCTTGTGCCCAGTGTAGTGAGAAGCTCAGGTGGCCTCTGTGACCATGGTACCAAGCACAGAGATGAGGAGAGGCACTGTCTCAACAGAGGGCAGTGAAAAAGTGCAGGACTAGGGAACCCCCCTCCCCAGGCCAGACATAGATAGATAGCCTTCAGGCACCAGGCATCTTGCATGGAGCAGAAAAGGTTGTTTCCTGTGACCCCAGCCCCGTTCTCCATGCTGTAACCACCAGTCCTGTCGTTCTACTCCAGAAGTCATCAGCCCTGTGTCAGAAGAGGACACTGAGGTCCAGAGAGGGGAATGCCCACCCAAGACCAGGAATCTAGGGGGGCATGGAGCAGGAATCTTGGCCCAGGCCCCAGGTCTATTCTTTTTTATTAATTTTTTAAAATTTATTTTTACGTGTATGAGTGTTTTGCCTGCATGTAAGTGCACCACGTGTGGAATGCCCACAGAGGCCAAAGGGTGCCGTCAGATTCCCTGGAATTGGGGTTACAGACAGTTGTCAGCCACCATATGGGTACTGGGATGTGAACCTGCATCCTCTGCAAAGGTAGCCAATGCGCTTAACTGCTGAATTTTCCCTTCAGCCCCTCTTTTTCTTTTTTTCTCTTTAAAATTTTTTAGATGTTTTATTGAATTTTTGTGTATTTCATACAGAACCTCTCCATTAATCTTAATCATCTTTATACCCCCTTCCCCACTGGCACCTTCCATAGCCCCCCCCGCTGGAATTCATACATTCTGTCATTTGTGTTAAGGCCTGTTGTGTCAAGTTAGTGTCCCCAGACGTTCCTCAGTGCAAGTTCACCTTCTGAGGTCTAGTCAGCCTATCTAGAGTCCCTCTAGGAAGATCAGCCCTTCTTCGCCTAGCAGTACTCAGCTGCCAATATTTCTTCAGCTAAGATTGGGGTCTGCTGTTCATTTCCCCAGTTCTATGCTGAGTTTCTGTCTGCTTGAGTTTGCATGGGTCTTGTGCATGCTGACACCATTGCTGTAGATTCCTATGAGCAGGACCCCAGGAGCTTTTTAAAGATTAATTTTAATTTTTTTATTTTTATTTTTAAATATTTTATTATTTTTATTTTATGTGTATGAGTGTTGCCTGCATGTATGTGAGTGCGCCCGTGTCGTGCAATGCCTCGGAGGTCAGAAGAGGGCACTGGATTCCTCTGGAACTGGAGTTAAGGATGGTTTGTAGCCACCTTGTGGGTCCTGGGAATCGAACCCTGGTCCTCTGTAAGAGCAGTCAGTGCTCCTAGCCACTGAGCCATCTCTCCAGCCCCTTTATTTTAATTTTTAAAAATTGTATGTGTGTGTGTGTGTGTGTGTCTGTGTGTGTGTGTCTGTGTGTGGGCATGCGCACATGTGAGTGCAGTGTGTCTGTGTGTGGGCATGCGCACCTCTGAGTGCAGTGTGTCTGTGTGTGGGCATGCGCACATGTGAGTGCAGTGTGTCTGTGTGTGGGCATGCGCACATGTGAGTGCAGTGTGTGTGTGTGGGGGCATGCACACATGTGAGTGCAGTGTGTCTGTGTGTGGGCATGCGCACATGTGAGTGCAGTGCCTGCAGAGGCTGGAAGAGGGCATTGGATCCCCTGAAGCTGGAGTTACAAGCAGTTGTTAACCTACCTAACATGGGTCCTGGGAACTGAACTCTGGTCCTCTGCAAGAACAGCAAACTTTCTTTTATTGTTTGTATTTTATTTATTTTTATTTTATGTGTATGTGTGTATTGCCTGCATGTAGGTAAGTGCACCCATGTCATGCAGTGTCCGCAGAGGACAGAAGAGGCTGTCGGATCCCCTGGGACTGGATTTATGGTCAGCTGTTAGCTGCCATGTGGATGCTGGGATTTGAACCCGGGTCTTCTGCAAGAACAACCAGTGTTCTTAGCCTCTGAGCCATCTCTCCAGCCCCCAAGAACAGCAAACTTTCTTAACAGCTGAGCCATCTCTCTAGCCCCCGAACCCCAGAATCTGTTCTTAAGCTGCCGCTGCACTGTCTGAAACAAAGCAGGGCTTTGGTGGGGGTGAAGGGAAGCTGCAAAGGGCACAGACAGGAGCTACTCCCTGAGACAGGATGTTGCAGTGTCAGAATGTATGCCTACCTCACATCCAGCATCTGGGCAGGAAGGGGTCAGCACTGCCTGTGGTGGAGCCCCTGCCAAGCTTAGGTTCTTGGTGCCAGTATTGAGGATGGGTGCAGGGACAGATGGCATGGGGAGGCAGTATCACCCCTCCACAGCTGGTCGATCTTGATGTCCCAGTGAGGTATCAGACAGCCTTCTGGAAGATCTCATTGCTGCCCATCTGGTGCTACCCAACCGTGTGACTGTGCCTGTGAAGAAGGGACTAGATGTGACCAACCTGCGCTTCCCTCTGCCCTGTGTGAGTACCAGGAGCTGATTCTAGGGCACTGAGCCAGTGAGGAGGGACAGCTGGCCAGGGCTGGGCTCTGAGCAGTGTTCTTCAGGTGATAATCCTCACTCTACCCTCTGAGGGCGTGACAACCCATTTCATAGGGGGCCGATGAGACTGGGAAGGGTGAGTGATTTGCCTAAAGTCACCATCTCGGGAGGGCCAGCACTTAGGCAGTCTACTGTGCTCCTGTCCCCAGTGTAGCTTGTGGTGGGGGCTGAGGGTAGTCACTTATGACACCTGGAGGTCCCAGTTCGTCCCTCGGGAAGGCTCCCTTGACTGTGCATTGGTGGGAAGGACCTAGGTCTACGGGAAAGGGGGATTCTTGGTTGGGCCAGGACTGAGACTTCTTTAGGTTTGGGTCTTCTTTTCCCTGACATCCTGGGGCCTCCTCAAGAGGCCCAGGGAGATTGCCTTGTGGCTGCCCTACAGAAAGTGGCTCTGGCAAAGGGGCTGCAGATAGGGCCACTAGAAGAGGAGAAAGTACCCGTTTTACCATCTGCCAGATATAAGGCTTTCTGCTCATGCTCAGCCTCACACACTGCAGTGCACACATAAGGCCCAGAGATGTGGGCTGGCTAAGGAGGCAGCATGGATGTCCCCTCAGCCTTCCCATGGTGGCTCACTGACTTTCACCCACATTCTATCCATAACAGTCCCAGAATAGTAATGCAAACATTGTCAGAATCCCAGAAACATTTTGTCCTCAGAGTATGTCCCATCAGAAATACACCGTCAAATGGCCATTTAAGTCTTTGAGGATGGTGCCAGTTCATTTATGGTAACTGGTCAGTAATATTTATATCAGTTTCTTTCATCTGTTCTCTATTTTCAAGGTTAACTTTTAATTTTTTTTTCTTTTTTTCTTTTGGTCTTTTTGAGATGGTAGCCCCAGCTTTCCTGGAACTCACTATGTAGACCAGGCTGGCCTTGAACTCACAGAGATCCGCCTGCCCCTGTCTCCTGAGTGCTGGGATTAAAGGCGTGCGCCACCACACCAGGCCCACGGTGTCCTTTATAAATATAAATACAGGGTCACCAGGTGTGGTGGCACATGCCTTTAATTTTAACACTTGGGAAGCAGAGGCAGGCAGATCTCTATGAGTTTGAGGCCACCCTAGTTTATAAAGTAAGTTCCAGACCAACCTGGACTACATAGTGAGACCCTGTCTCCAAAAAAAAAGAAAATCTATCATCTTTCTACATACATACAGGACCCTAACACCAATACAGGCAGGCCCACAGCATACCCGGGGTATCCCTAGCACTCAGCTTGTGCGGGTTGCACAGAGGTGCTGAAGAAAGGAGGAAACTCAGGTGGCATGCTCATTGGCATAGGATGGCCTAACAGTGCCAAGTCTGGAAGCAGTGAGTGTGAAGGCCAGAGCCTCGGGCAGAGCTTGCTGACACAGTGCAGAGCCTTGGCTGGTCACTGCTGTCTCTAGCCACTGTGTCTCCATCCAAACCATGGATGAAGCAGCAGTGGTATGTGGTGGCTTTGGCCTGACATCCTGGTTAGGATTGGCATGGGCAGGAGGCAGCAGTGAGCCAGGGCTTGGGTGTTTTCCAGGGGGTGATCAGAGTTCACTTGCTGGAGGCTGAGAAGCTGGCCCAGAAGGACAACTTCCTGGGACTCGGAGGCAAGTCAGACCCCTATGCCAAGGTGAGCATCGGCTTACAGCACTTCCGGAGCAGAACCATCTACAGGAACCTGAACCCCACCTGGAATGAGGTATATGAGGTGAGCTTCTCCTCAGCCTCCCCCAGCAGCCCTGGGGTGGCACTGGACTATGTTGGACATGGTGGCTCTTGTAGCCCAACAGGGAAAGCCCTGGCTAAGGGTGTGGGTCTTGCTATGTGCAGACAGATCTGTGTAACTCCTGCTTCCCTGTCCAGCGGGCTCTCAGACCTGATTTTCAGTCCCTTTTCCAGGCCAGAGTCAGATTTATGGGAGGTTTTCAGAGGAAAGGGAAAGAGTCCTTCACAGACAGTTCTGCCCCACTGCTTTCTGCCTCCCCTTCGAGAGTTCAGCCACTCCTGGATGGGTGGACCTACAGGCCCACCAGTTACATGTTCCAGGGCCACCCCTGGCTGCCCCTACCACCCTGCCATTACAGATGCCATCTACATTCTCTGTTACATCTGAGCCCAGGCAATGAAAGCAGGATGAGAAAGGGCAGCTTAGTTTCCTGTTGTCTCAGCACCTGGACCGGGAGAATGACAGGCAGGTGCCCACCGCAGACAAATGGCAGCCACTGTCCCTTGAGCACCACTGGTGTGGCTTGCTCGTGTTGACTCCAGTCCTCTCTGCTGCTCTTCAGGGGAGAGCTATCATCTCTTTCTTACAGGCGGGGTTCTAAGGTGCCCTAAATTGGGATTTGGCTCCTCGTGGGTTAAAAGGTCTGATTCATCAGTCAAGACCTGCAGGGCAAGATGCCTCTCTCTCTCCTTCCAGTTCATGGTATATGAAGTGCCTGGGCAGGACCTGGAGGTGGACCTGTATGATGAGGATACCGACAGGGATGACTTCCTGGGCAGGTAAGGAGTGGGGATCTGGGCTTTGGGACTTCTTCCCTGCTTGGAGTGCAGGACTGAGCCTTGGGTTAGAGACCAGACAACCCTCTCTGGTCACTGTGACAGAGTGACTGCACTAGGCAACCTGCCCCCATGAGTCTACAGTCCTGCCACAGACCTTCCCAGGAATCTCTAGCCCTGACATAGACCCTGGAAGGGAGCAGTTACAGAGAGGATCCAGGCTTGTGTCCCCACTGGAATGTTCCCAGAATCCCATTTGGGAGCATAATGACCAGGCGTCCAATTCCAAGAAGCCTTGGTCATTCCCTGTGGAATGGAACCTAGGCCCTCAAAGCTGTGGGAAAACCAAAGTGACCCTGGTGAGGATGTTTGGCAGAACCTCAAATTTACATGGTTTTTAGTCTAGGAGGCCCACTTCCAGGAATTGCCTATAAAAACACTAGGCCTTAAAATCTTACTGCTGAGGTCTTTTACCCTGCTAATATGGACAGTGATGAAGACCTGAGTGAATGTCTGAAAACATTTGCCTTTGCCCACTACAGAAAATCCTGTGGCTTTCAAAAACAAGCAGAGTATATGTATATAGTAACTGAGCCATCATGGCATACTGTCAAGTAGGAAAGGGGTACAGTGGGGTTGGATTCAGTCTTCCAGGAGAGAAGCCAGGGGCCATTTTGGCTGCTGTGAGCAGAGGAACAGGGGAGTGACAGGCTATTTATGCCTCAGAGGATAGGAGGCAAAGGAGGGAGCCAACTTCAATCCTTGTGTGTGTTTCCATGAAGATGTAATCGTAAAAAGTCGAAACTAGACCAAATGGGAGATACAGTCTGACAGTTTAAGAAACAGCTCACCACCAGGTGTTGCTGGTCATTTTTATTTTCATCTTTATTTTTATCTTTAGCAGTTTTTATAGTACTGCAGGTGGGAAGTGTGGCTTGTGGTACCTGCCTTCTGGGCTGAGTTCAGGTGCATTTTGAATGATGCACAGTTCTAAGTTATACAGAGATTGTAGCTTCTCTCTGGCTGGCAGGCCCTGCAGATTGGGCTTGGCTTATGGTAGGTTAGGAGGTCACTGGTATGGGACTTTCTGGCTCTCTTACATAGGTCATCAGTACTTGTCATTTTCAGGGACTGGCACCAGTTTTCAAATCATAAGAGCATTTGGCTGTTGAAGTGCTTCTGGCATTTAGAGGTACAGGTCCAGGAAGTTAAATTCCTGTGATACACGGACAGTTTTGCGCAATGAGGAATCACCCCACTCAAAATGCCAGTAGCAGTGTTGTTGAAAAAGCCAGAGGTGATGTGTCCAGATCCCTACTTGCCCCCTCTGGGGCTGGGATCCCCTCCTTCTCCATAGCATGTGCACAGTAGAGCAGTTAGCTAGCCCTCCCTCCTCTTCAACTGTGGTTGCCTCCCACTGCTTCCCTGGGATGAATGAGGCCACTGTCCCAATGGCTACACTCTGCTACTTGAGAACAGAGTCCAGGGTGGGCCTCTGTGCTCTGCTCCTAGATGGCTGTGCTCACTCTCTCCCTGTCTTTCAGCCTGCAGATCTGCCTCGGAGATGTCATGAAGAACAGAGTGGTGGATGAGGTAGAGGTGGTGTGCCCTGGGGTTTCCAGGGATGCCCTCTCCCATGCCCAGTTCTAGCAAGTTGTTTCAGCCAGCTGGCCCTTGGCAATGGGTCTGGTCCCTTTGTGTTGGGCTGCACAGATGCCCACCCTCAGGGACAAGAGCTGCGGGTGAGGCCCAGCTGGCTCCAGGAAGCCCCCTAGGGCTGGGTTTGCAAGAAGCTTCCCTGGGAAATGTCCAGAGTATAGGCACCCAGAAAGGGACAGTCACACTAGAGGGGAAAGCAGGCTGGGCCTGAGTTTTACCATCCCCAAATGTTGTATTTCTGCCCCCTCAACATCTGCCAGTCCCTCTGGGACCACGGTGTGCCCTGATTGGGTTGGTTCACTTTTTTCCCCAGTCCCAGAACTAAGCAACCCTTAAATGGTGAGAGGTATCGCCCCAACCCCAAACTTTTCTCTCCCTCTCCCACCCCACAGTGGTTTGTCCTGAATGACACAACCAGTGGGAGGCTGCACTTGCGGCTGGAGTGGCTGTCACTGCTCACTGACCAGGAAGCACTGATGGAGGTGAGTGGGGGTGTCAGTAGCTCCTTAGCAGAAAGGATCACTGGGGAAGAAGGGGCCCCACTTCTAATTCTGTGTGCATTTAGAGGCAGAGGAGGAACCCCATTTCTGCCTGCTATGTGAAGGTAGAGGCAGGGAAGGTGACACTTGGCTTCTTCCTCATCTCCTAGAGAACATGTCATCGGGCCCCTCTCCACTCACCCAGGGCCACCTTTCATCTCTCTCAATAAAAGCCTCTGAGCACCTCAGTTGTTTTCAGGGAAGGTGGGGCCCTTAGAGCTGTGTCAATGGCTGTCATCCCAGTTCATAGGCAAACCTATCATGCTGCAGATATATTCTTAGCCAACGTATAGCTATGCTGTTAGCCATCTTATGCAGGTCTAGAGTACGAGGATGGGCTTCCTTCTTCCCTGGGTAGATTTCTCCAGAGTCACTCTGTCTTTCCTGCTTCTGGAGTGTTCAGTGAGACCACAGTGTGTCTGTTTGCAGGAGCATGGTGGCCTTTCCACTGCCATCCTCGTGGTCTTCTTAGAAAATGCCTGCAACCTGCCGGTGAGTTGTGCCGCACATCTGTCTTGTGCTCATCGCTGTCAAGTGCTCACATGTTGCTTTAACTCCAGTTCTTCTTGTGTTGTAGAGAAACCCTTTTGACTACCTGAATGGGGAATATCGAGCCAAAAAACTCTCCAGGTTTGCCAGAGTGAGTGAATATAGCTGAAAACTTGAGGGCAAGTGGTGACTCCTCCTCCCCGAAGTGACCGTAACCTGAGCCTGTCTGTCACACAGCCAGGTTAACGGTTAGCCGTGCCAGGTCCTGGGCGTGGTGGTTTGTTCTGTCATTACCCTGGAGGTCCATTGGTGACTGTGTGTCAGGTTTTGTGTGTTTAGGGGGGTGGGTAAGGGCATGGTTGCCATTTTATAAACGGGGCCCAGAACTGTGAGGGCCTAGGGCATTCAGGTATTTGGAACTGGAACTGTTTGTTTCGATTGCCCCAGGGAATGAGAGCTGGTAGCCAAAGGGCTCAGCTCTGGCTTCTGGTTTTCAACTTGGAACCTCTCTCTAGGGACAGTCCTGCCCAGTTCTCAGGCTATGAGTACAGCCAGGGGGACACCAGGCACCTTCTACCCAAGGGAAACCACTGGGCACCCTAGAACCCACTAGGGTGCCTGGAGGTGTGGATAGGGAGGGGCAGGCCATCTTGGACCAACCCTGACTATACCATATTGTGGATTTCTGCCTTACAGAATAAGGCAAGCAGAGACCCATCTTCCTATGTCAAGCTAACTGTAGGCAAGAAGACCTTTACAAGTAAGGTGAGGCTTCTGGCGCCTGCCTGAGGAGGGGAAATTGGGTCTCCAGTCCTTAGGAAGAGCCAAAAGGGAAAGGGAATTCACTCACATTGAATGCCTGGAAGGCACGTCAGAATCACCTCCCTCTGTAGTTTTATGGTTCAGGTAAGAGATGAATGACCCCACCAAGAGCAGCAGGAGAGGGTTCAAGCTCGGGCATGGTCTGAGCTCTGTCCGTTCTGCCACACCGTGATGTTCCTTGAGTCTGGCTGTCCTGCCCTCATGAGTCCCCCAGCTGTAGCGTGTGTCTGATCCCTGGGTAGAGAAGGCATCCCCTGGCAGCTGGTGGCCACACCAACCAACTCGGCTCTCAATGCTCTCTCCCTCTTCTGTTCTCAGACCTGTCCTCACAGCAAGGACCCTGTGTGGAGCCAGGTGTTCTCCTTCTTCGTGAACAGCGTGGCATCTGAGAAGCTCTGCCTGAAGGTTTGCTTGGAGTTGGCCTCTGGGGACAGCTTGGCGGTCTCTAAACTGGGTTTCCTGCAGTAATCAGTGGAAGGGTACAAGGTCCCACAAGGCCTCTGCTCCTTGAGTTTGGTGCCCAAGGTCACTTTGTAGGAGACAGTGGAAACATGAACCCTTATCTCCCTTAGCTCTCTCTGCAAAAGGCCTTTCCAGTTGCTGGCAGTAGCCACGGTGACCTGTCTTTACAAAAGATTTGTGGGGAAATTATCTTGTTTTCATATGAACAAATAGAGGGTAAATCAGTGATTTGCCCAAGATCTCATGCCTACAAGTGGGGGACTTGGACCTTTTTGGAGCCTTGAGCCCAGCCTGGAAGTTGTACCATGTAGTAGCACAGTTCACTGGTCCCAAAAGTCCCTCTGGCCCTGGATGTATGCCAGACTGGCCTCATAATCACCTCTACTCTGAGTTACCCCTCTCCCTAGACTCTAGGGAAGGATGAGGTCTGGCCTGGCTCCATGCCTGTTTGTAGAATAGGACCAGATGCCAGTAGCTGCATAGCCCGTACTTAACTGAAGTAAGCCCAGACTTACTGGGACCAGGCGGCAGTGGTGGCACAGTGAGTTTAGCTCTTCTGATTCTGTGACTGGCCTGCTGCCCAGGTGCTGGATGATGACCAGGAGTGTGCTCTGGGAGTGCTGGAGTTCCCCCTGTGCCAGATCCTCCCCTGTGCTGACCTTGCCCTCGAGCAGCGCTTCCAGCTGGACCACTCAGGCCTGGACAGCCTCATCTCCATGAGGCTGGTTCTGCGGGTAAATCTCTCCTATCTTGGTGGGCGGGTAGGGTGAACTACACACAGAGTACCTGCTGTGTCCAGAGCCAGATTTATGTCCTTATCTTTGGAATGTATAAGCCATTATCTCTTCACTACTTCAGATACTGTCACTGCCCTCCTCCTTTTTTTCTTTTTTTGGTCTTTTTGAGACAGAGTTTTCCTGTAGCCCCAGCCGTCCTGGAACTCACCGTGTAGAGCAGACTAGCCTCAGTCTCACAGAGATCTGCTTGCCTTTGCCTCTCAAATGCTGGGATTAAAGGCATGCATCATCAAGCCTGGCTCTCATTTAAAAAAATCGTTCCTTCTAGAACTTCCATACTGGACCTTCCTTTCCACCCTCCATCTGTGCCTCAACTTCAGCTTCTATCCCCAGCTAACTCCCTCAGAAACATCTTCCGTGTTACTAACTCTCTTACTGTGTCCAGCTTGGTATTTTTCCTATGTGGTTTTTAGTTCAAAGGTGATTTTCTTCATCCTTTAACTCTTCCAAATCCACTCTGTCTTTCATGGTACATTGTTCTTTTCTCGCGTTCACATTCCCATGCCATCTTTAGTCATTTGAAATGTTTACACTGTAGTCTGCTAATTCTATCATCTGGAGATCTTGAGAGTAACTTGTTTATTTTTTTCATGTAAGATAGGTAATGCAATGCCATAAAAAGCTTTGAGGGGGCTGGAGAGATGCCTCAGTGGTTAAGAGCACTGGTTATTCTTGCAGAGGACCTGGGTTTGATTCCCAGCATCCACATGGCAGCTAACAACTGTCTTAATTCCAGTTCCAGGGGATCCAATGCCCTCTTCTGACCTCCACAGGCATTGCAAGACATGGGTACACTTACATATATGCAGGCAATATGCGCATACACATAAAATAAAAATAATAAAATATTTTTTTAAAAAAAAGGTTTGAGGGAGATGTCATTAAAAAACACAATACCCAGCTGGGCATGGTGGCGCATGCCTTTAATCCCAGCACTTGGGAGGCAGAGGCAGGCGGATCTCTGTGAGTTCAAGGCCAATCTGATCTACATAGTGAGTTCCAGGACAGCTGGGGCTACAGAGAGACCTTGCCTCAAAAAGACCAAAACAAAAAACAAAAAAAAAAACCCCAAAACAACAACAACAAAAAAAAACCCCACAATACCCAGTCTTCACACTGTCCACCACAAAAGGATCTTGGGAGTAAATGTTTGTTTATTGCTGTGTTTTCATGGTGACTATTTGGCAATGTGAGTTGTGAATATGGTCAGCCTTCCTTAATGGCCTGCTAAGGTTTAGCTTATGTTCCAGTAGAGGACTTCTGGGCATTAATGACCTGGAGACACTGTTACATTAACTTTTAACAGTTTCAAAACCCACAGGAAATCTGAATATGAACTAAAAACTCTTGAGCACATACATGCCTATCAGGTGCTGTGTTTGGGGAAGACATTCCCCTAACCAGATTTCAAACTGAAACAGACACCTCTTGTCAGTCTTTGCTGATGGGTGGAATTACTCTAGATTACTTTTTCACTGAAGAGATCCCAGCCCCACATTTATTTCTGGAAATGGAATTCCTTAATGGGACTTAGCTAAGGAGATGGCTAAGGAGAAAGGAAGAGGGTGACATGTGGCTGAGGTTGGGAAAGTGGTGGGTCCAGCCTATAACCTTGTTATCTGATTCCAGTTCTTACGTGTGGAGGAACGAGAACTGGGAAGCCCTTACACAGGCCCTGATGCTCTCAAGAAAGGCCCTCTGTTCATCAAGAAGGTGGCCACCAACCAGGATCCCAAAGCCCCACCCCAGGAAGACCTTGTAGATTTGCCATGTGCCCCAGGCCCTGCCTCTGACACCAAGGGAGCTGCCGTGAGCACATACACCACCACCAGTGCCACCACCACAGCCACCAAGCCTGAGCCCCAAGAGACAGGCCCAGAGCCCAAAGGCAAGGACAGTGCCAAAGGGCTCTGTGAGCCCACAGGGAAGAAGAAGAACCCAGCCACCATCTTCCTGACTGTCCCGGGCCCCCACTCTCCAGGGCCCATCAAGTCACCCAGACCCATGAAAGGCCCTGCCTCCCCATTCGTATGGCCGCCCACTGGGCTAGCTCCCAGCATGTCCTCGCTCAACTCCCTGGTCTCTTCCTGCTTTGATCTGACAGATGTCAGCCTCAACACTGAGTATGCACCTCTCTGCTTAATCTTTTCTAAAATGACCTTTATGAAAAATAGATCCTTGGATGGAAAAGTAGATATGAGCATACATCTCTGTGCAAGTTCTGTTTTTTCACAGAACATCTTCCCAAGAGGCACCTTGGTACAGTGAAAAGAGCACAGGATGAGAAGAGCCCAACTGTGAGGTTGTGGCTCTAGCTACATCTGTCAAGTAGATACTAGACTTCAGTTGTTAAAGTTCCTTCCAGCAGAAACAGTTCCTGAATTCTTGGTGGGATAAAGTGAAAAGTTTAAGATGTGGATTTATTTACTAAACGGCTGCCATGTATTAAGGGCTGCTTCCATGTGCCCTAATTTGATTTAGTCTTTACAATAACCCCACAAGATAAAAGAGACCATTATAAGCCAAAGTTTGGGGCTGGAGAGATGACTTAGGGGCTAAGAGCACTGGTTCTAGGTTGAGTTCCTAGCACCCACATAAGCTCACAACTACCTATAATTCCAGTTCCAGGGAATCAACGCCCTCTTCTAACTTCCATGGGCATTGCATGACACACGTGCACTGTACATATATACAGGCAAAACACCCATACACATACAATAAAAATAAAAAATCTTTTTAAAGTCAAAGTCCTTCAAGCCCTCTAAGCAAACATGATATAATGGCAGATCTGCGCCAGGGTCTGTTCATGTTCTTTCTACTGTGAATTAAGTATATGAATGCTGGATGAAACCAACTTCCAACTGAAAGGAACCTTATGGAGAATTAATTGGCCCACATGGGTCTGTGTTGCTCACACAGGACATGCTTCTCTAGCTTGAAGGTGAGGGGAGAGGACCAGTACTTAGTGACAAGAGACATGACAGGCCTTTTCTTCACAGAGGCGGGGATTCCAGGCAGAGGCGGCTTGGCGAGATTCAGCTCACAGTGCGCTATGTGTGTCTGCGGCGCTGCCTCAGGGTGCTAATCAACGGCTGCAGGTAGAGGACTTATGGAGCCAGGATGCTCCTTTGGAAGTATCAGGTGACCATTTAGTGGGGTGCTTAGAATGACAGCAGAAACATGTACTCCCAAGACAGATAAGTGACATTTCAACCAGGGGCAGCAGAGTCCTCAGAGGGGCACTAGAGTGATCCTCCTCTGTTGGTGCTGGTGGACTCAGGAGTCAAGGGTTTTGCTCAGACACAACCACTACAAAACCCTTTCAGGTGGCTGTTAGCCAGTACATCTTCCCAAGCAGGAACGCCTAACTGCCTTACGTAGAAGTACTGGCCCACTCTAGGTGGTACAAAAATGGGTTTTCAAAATCATCCATCTGATACTTTGTCCTCTAAGTTCTGCAGACTTTTGCTTTTTGTTCATGTAGACTACAGAGGCTTTTTAATCCTCAAGCCCACCTACTCCCCAATGGCTTGTATGGCTTTCTCCTAAATGAGTAATTTCAGTGTTTGAAACAAAGGACCTTTTCCCCCTGCAAATCAGGAACCTGACACCATGTACCAGCAGTGGGGCTGATCCCTATGTTCGTGTCTACCTGTTGCCAGAAAGGAGGTGGGCAAGTCGAAAGAAGACCTCAGTGAAGCGGAAGACCCTGGAGCCCCTGTTTGATGAGACGTGAGTGGAGTGTCACACACCTCACCCATTTTCATAGTACTGAGCCCTGAGCATTGGTGTGTCTGGCAGCTTGCCAGGTGCAGGAGGGGCCTGGGCTGAACAGGACAACATAGTCTGACCTCACAAAGCCCTTCTATACTTTCTAGTGGGAAAAAAGGATTTCCAGGGTAATTTATTTTAAAAGCTTCTTGAAACTGGCCATAGTGAGCACATGTTTTTAATCCTTTCCACTGGGGAGGCAGGGCATGCAAATATCTGTGAGATGAGGCCAGCCTGGTCTACATAGTAAATTCTAGGCCAGCAGGGGCTACAAGGAGTTCCTTTCTCAAAAACAAACGGCTGCTCATTTGCTGTCCCTCAAGGGTGAAGAGTTCTGGTGATGGCATGTTCCATATCATTGGCACCGAAAGGATTTTAATCTGGGTTGCTTGTTATGTCTGTCTGTCTGTGTGTGTGTGTGTGTGTGTGTGTGTGTGTGTGCGCGCGCGTGTGCGCGCGCGCATTGGTGGTAGTACCTGGGATTGAACCTACAACCTCAAACATGCTAGGCAAGCAATCTGCCACTGAGCTATAGTCCTAGCCCTCAACATTTTGTTGTTTCCTGTCTATTTTAACTGCTAGAATGCAGCTGAACCTATGGACTAAAATTGCCCTCCGAAGGAGGCTAGAGAGATGGCTCAGTGGTTAAAAGCACATTCTGCTCTTATAGAGGACTCAAGTTTGGTTCCCAGCATGCATGTCAGGCAGCTCGCAATCATTTTAACTCCAACTCTAGGGAAATCTAATATCTCTGGTCTCTGTGGGGACCAAAACTCTTATGCATATAACCATGTACAGATAACACACATATCCACATAGTTAAAAATTAAATTAGAAAATAATAAAATTGCTTCCAAAGCTCTAAGCTCTCTGGCCTGTCTTCCATCCTGAACATAGCTGGGTTGGCAGGTAAAAGTTCCCCTTCTCTTTGTCCATGTGTTTGGGGAACAAAACTGATAGGCACACTGTCATCACATTTCTTGCTTTTGACAAGTCCAGTGGTAGCAAGTCTTATTCTCAATATTTGTATTTTTGATAATTCTCAAGGTATAAAAGCCAAAATCCCATCACTTCTCCTGCTTTGTGGTTCTGAGAGAACACATTTCCCATCAGCTTGGGAAGACACTATACCTCATGACTTTTATTTCCCTCTTATTCTGATCAGTAATAACCATTTTAAAAGGCTGAAACCAGCCAGGTATGGTAGCTCACGTCTTTAATCCCAGCACTTGGGAGGCAGAGGCAGGCAGATCTCTGTGAGTTCAAGGCCAGCCTGGTCTACAGAGTGAGTTCCAGGTCAGCTGGGGCTACAGGGAAACCCTGCCTCAAAACAACAACAACAACAAAAACCCAATATACTTTTGGGACTGGAGCGATGGCTCAGTGGTTTAAGAACACTGGTTGTTCTTGTAGAAGACCTGGGTTCGAATCCCAGCACCCACATGGCAGCTAACAACTGTCCTAACTCCAGTCCCAGAGGATCCAACAGCCTCTTCTGTCCTCCATGGGCATTCCACAACACGGGTGCACTTACCTACATGCAGGCAATACATGCATACACATAAAAATAATAAATAAAAAAGTTTTTTTTAAAAAAATGGCTGAAACTGAGTCCTTTGGTCCATGTCGAAAAACTACGCCATTTGTCCCCATCAGAAAAGGCTGCAAGGAGTAGTTTACCCGTTCAACGTTCACTTAACACTTTATGCCAGGCACCATCCTATAACCACACAAATGGACTCTGCCTTCAAAGACAGCACTTACACAAATATAAAAAGATGTTAAATGACTCCAAAAGAACACAGAAGGGAGGAGTTTTAGCATTTGACTGTCAAGACAAGCTTAATCTGTTAGTAATTCTCTCAAAATTTTAACAAGAAGATGAAAGCCAGGGTTAACTAGAAGGCAGGCGTGGCCACCCTCACCCTAAGTAGAAAGCTAGAAGGAGAACCCCCGGGGCCTCTGATGAGTGCACAAGGCTGGTACACAGTCCTCCGAGGGAGGCAAGCATGCAACTCCAATAAGCCTGCCTCATCAGCATCCTGGCCCTCACTCATGCTGTCAGAATAGAGAAGTGGTGAGGTTCCTCTGGGCAGGCAGAGTGAGGAGCACAGCTAAGTATGCAGTCAGCGTAGTCAGGATGCAACTGACAAACCCCGAGTGCTAGCTGTGTGAGAGCAGCAGCTCAGGCAACCAGCCTCCTGACACTTCCAGGCTTCGTGTACAGCTTAGATCAGAGACTGTCTGTAATGAAGATGCACCGAGTGCTGATGAGCCAGTGCCGATTCTTTTGCTTTTAATAGCTGATGGCTCCTTTCAGTGGGAAAAAGAAGAAACTTCAACTTTTCAACAAAAACAACTGAATGCAAATCTCATTTTTTGATTTTTATAGATTTGAATTTTTTGTTCCTATGGAAGAAGTCCAGAAGAGGTCACTAGATGTCGCAGTGAAAAACAGTAGGCCCCTCGGCTCTCACAGAAGAAAGGAATTAGGAAAGGTAAGCATTATGCAACTTCCTTGTATCCTAATACCAGATACAATACTTCTGGCTATTACTAGAACTGACTGTGATAAGGATGTACAGCCACTAAATATGGAAATATGAAGTCGGATATAGACATTATTTTAACAAATGAGAATCTATCCAAATTCAATATTCCATAAGTATGTTAACATTTACTGTGCTATTGCAGACAATTTTTTAAAAATTTTATTTTTATTTTATGTGCATAAGTGTTTTGCTTGCTTGTATGTAAGTGCATCACATATGTGCAGTGCCCTGCAGAGGCCAGAAGAGGGTGTCAGATCCCCTGGAACTGGAGTTATGGATGGTTGTTAGTTGCCATTTGGGTGTTGGGAACCGAATCTGGGTTCTCTGCAGGAGCAGTTGGTGCTGTTAGCTTCTGAGTATCTCTATAGCCTTGCATACCATTTTTATAAATAAAGCATTACGTGAGGCTTATAATGAATTTTCCCTAAAGTAAAGGGAAGAACTAGAATCCTGGAAATGTGTCAAGGAGGATCTCCCATGATCTGTACAGTACTGGAGATGTTGTATTCTTTTAAAATGATTTATTTTTATTTTATGCGTTTGAGTGTTATTATGCTTGCATGTATATAAGTGCACCCATGTCTTGTGATGCCCACAGAGGACAGAACAGCATCTCAGATCCCCTGGAACTGGAGTTATGGATGGTTGTTAGCTGCCATGTGGGTTCTGGGATTCAAACCCAGGTCTTCAGCAAAAGCAGCCAGTGCTCTTACCCTCTGAGCCATCTCTCCAGCCCCAGATGTTGTATTTTAATAACTAACTTCTTATGTTCATCTCTGTGATATGTACTTCTATGAGGCAGATAGTACTATGCCCATTTTTATAGATGAGACAAGTTCCCTTTTTTATAACATTCATAAATAAACTTGAAAATTCCTGAAGAACTCCAAACAGAAGCGGGACACCGAGGCCAGTGTTTCCACTGGAGAAGCTCCATGTTGAAAGGGAAATACCCTGCTGACTGGATGGTGGGAGGAGCTCATGAGGTCCCACCACTAACTGAGATGTGTTGGCAGCTGACAGCTCCTGGGGGAGGGAGAATCTTCTCTGGGGGACATGGCCACTGGTAGGTTGCCTATGTTCAAGTGGATGGCCCCATACCCAATGCACAGACAGGTAACACTAACTGGATTTAGTTACTGAAAAAGAAGAGGACATAAAGTTGGGATGGGAATATGTGGGAAGGACGGGGGAACTGAAGGGGAAAACTGGGGGTGTGTGAATACGATCATACTACTTTGTATACATGTATAGAATTCTCAAGGAATAATTAAAAAAGAAAAAAAAGAAAGTGGGCTGTGGTGACACATGCCTTTAATCTCAGCACTTGTGAGGCAGAGGCATGTAGATATCTGTGAGTTCAAGGCCAACCTGGTCTACATAGTGTAGCTGGGGCTACAGGGAGACCCTGTCTCAAAGAGAGAGAGAGAGAGAGAGAGAGAGAGAGAGAGAGAGAGAGAGAGAACGAACCCAGCTGGAAGCGCAGTGACCCTTCATGCTGAGCTCAGTTTACCCCCAGTGTTTCCATTTAACAGTGCTTTGGAAGAGCACTAACTACTTGTGTTGTTTAGGTACTGATTGACTTATCAAAAGAAGATCTGATTAAAGGCTTTTCACAATGGTAAGTGTGCCATTTCATTTTGTTTTTAAAATATTTTATTATTTTTATGTGTATGGGTGTTTTGCCTGCATGTATGTAAGTGTACCATGTGCATGCACTGCCCTCAGAGGACAGAAGAGGGTGTCAGAGCCCTGGAACTGGAGTTACAGATGGTTGTTAGCCACCATGTGGGTGCTAGGAATTGAATCCAGGTCCTCTGAAAAAACAGCAAGTGTCCTTAATTGCCAAGCCATCTCTCCAGCCCTCATTTTATCTTTGTTAATGTTATCTTTGTTAATTTAACTTTGTTATCTTTGTTAAGACAGCTGTCTCAGACAGCTACCCTGGTCTCCAGAGTTCTTTTCCTTTCAGTATTATTTTAAATGCCTTGGTTATCAAAAAGCGAGGCAGAGTAACCCCTTTACCCAGGCTATTCCGCCTGGAGATCTCACCTGCAGGCCCTCTGTAACTCTGACATTAACCTTGGCCAGCCAACTCCCAGAGAGCTGTGTTCTGTTGGCTCCACCAGAGGCCCAGCTGCTTGTCCTGCTGCAGCCACACCCCCTCATTACTAACAAGTCCAAACCCAATTATCTTACAGGTATGAGCTGACTCCAGATGGACAGCCAAGAAGCTGACAAGGAGCTGTTATCACCAATGTTAGTGTATATATGTGTGTACTTTGTCATTTAAATCAGGACAGCCATTTGATGGACATGTATATTGTATGAACTCTAACCTCATGACTAGATAGTATTAGAGGAAGGATTAGTAAAAACAAGAACACTTTCAATTTGTTCAAATCAAGAAAGAAATTGGGGTATTTGTGTCTAGTAAGCCATCAAAACCTCAGTAGTGATTTTTTTTCACTTTGGGTAAGTATTCACATATGATTTGGGACTTGCCTGAATGTATGCACCAGAAAGTGTGACGTCCCCAACATGGGGGTGGGGAGGTCTGTTACTGGAGCAGGTGCCAGCCTTCCTGGGCAGGTACAGAGCAAACTGAAAACTGCCCAGAGCTAGCACTGCCAAAGCCCTTCTGGCTGCCACCTGATACTTATAAGCATAGAGATTTGTTCTGATTCTGACTTGGAGCTACAATTATTTTCCTAGTGACAACAACGTTAGAATGATGTACTTTAAATATTCTAGTGTGGGGACGCCTGGGGCCACCACTGGCAAGTGGCTTCATTTCCATAGGAAAGTTCAAGCCTAAGTCCAAACACCTCAGCAGAGTGTTGGAGGCCACACGAGTCACTGCCCAGGAGGAAAGGGGACTTTCTGTGTCTCTTAGAAAAGTTTGAGACTTTGTCTCACTTTTTAAAGAAATGGCTGATCTACACAAGTAATATGTTAAAAGCAAAATATGTAAATTGTATATTTAAATAAGTGCCTCTTATACATTTCAAACTTTTTTTTTTTTTTTTTGTCTTTTTGAGACAGGGTCTCCCTGTAGCCCCAGCCGACCTGGAACTCACTATGTAGACCAGGCTGGCCTTGAACTCACAGAGATCCACCTGCCTCTGCCTTCCAAGTGCTGGGACTAAAGGTGTGTGCCACCATGCCTGGCACATTTCAAACTTTTTAAGACCAAATAGACTTCTTGTCCTCTTTGGTGGTCCCAGAGTGACGTGAAGGCCTCACCCTCATCGCCCTGCACTTGGGCGACATCCTCTGCCGTCTTCACTGATGCTTTCCTTTTTATTTATTGTTGTGTGTGTGTCTGTGTGTGTATGATGTTGGGGGTGTTACACATATTCCATGATGCCATGTGGAGGTCAGAGGACAACTTTATGGAGTCAGTTCTGTCCTTCCACCTTGACATAGATTCCAGGGCTCAAACTCAGGTTTCCAGGCTTGCATGGCAAGCACCTTGAGCCACTGAGCCATATCTCGAGCCCTGCAGTGATGCTTTTCTAAAGAATGACCAATATTCCAGCTGGGCATGCTGGTTTACACTTGGAATCCCAGCCCTCAGCAGACTGAGACTAAATAGCAAGACCCTGTTTCAATAAAACGAAAAGACTGACAGTGCTCTAAGACAAGGTTTTTGCCATATTACTCTCTCTTGTACATTGTATTTTGTTACTCAAAGCTCTTTAGTTTACCATTTGAGGTTAAGGGAATCTGGTTTTTGGTTTCTTTTACTGTATTCATGTGCAAATAAGTATTCAGCTGACGTGTATTTGGCATCCTGAATAAACAGGACAGTCCATATACTGTGTCATCTTCTCTAATAACCAGTCCATACTATAAACGACCTCTTCCTACTACCTATGTAGTATTTTCCATTTTAACAATTCTCAGTCTTGTAATATTAATTTTTTAAATGTTTACAAGGCATCTATAAGGTCACAGCTAAACAACTACAGTATTGTGGTTGGCACTTAATGTTTCAGTTTGCATGCCGATTGAACTGTAAACTACTTAAAATGTTTTAACCTTACCATTCAAGACTTTGCTAAGTTGATACAGTGTTTATAATAAAAGGTTTTTTGAGATTTTTGTTTTGTGTGTATTATAGTTGTGTGTGTGTGTGTGTATGTGTGTGTGTGTATGTGTGTGTGTGTCTAGAGACTGTAAGATGTCCATCTTTGGGGGGGTGTTGTGGAAACAGGATCTCACTGTCCAGGAACTCACTAGGTTGGCTGGTCAGTAAACCCCAGGATCCACCTGTCTCTAACCTTCCCACTGCTGGGAATATAAGCATGTACTACCACACCTGGTTTTCTGTTTTGTTTGATGATCCAAAGAGAAAAGCTGAAGCAATGCCCAGAGTCAAAGGGGAGTGCAGCACTGAAACCAGAACTTAGCATGCACTAGAGAGGCACCACGTGACGACAAGGACACAAGGACAGGTTGGTAGCAGCATGTAGTCAGCTAATCTGTGTCACTAGAGCCTGGTGTCTGACACTATATACAATCAACTGGGTGTGAAAACACCCCCAAACAGAAAGTTGATTTAGAATCTCAAACCATGTGCAGCTTTAACAGTCAAGCACAAAACCAGCCCTTAACAGTTGCCACCAAAGACGTGAAGCTTGAGGGACACAAACTGAAAGATGACCACAAGATAGATATAGATATAGATTGTGTGTGTGTATATATATATAGATTGTGTGTATATATATATATATAGTGTGTGTATATATAAATAGATTGTCTGTGTGTATATATATATAGATTGTGTGTGTGTATATATATATAGTGTGTGTATATATATAGTGTGTGTGTATATATATAGTGTGTGTACAT